AGACCAAGGACTGCTTGAGCTTGAGATTACTTTTTCTATAAGAACCTTCTTGACGTAATGGATTGTTTGGTCAATTTGATGACCCCCAGTTTTTCCCAGTGGTGGGTTTCTAGGTCACCATGTTTTCTGTGTTGATGCTTGATGAATACTAGGCTTTTGAGTGAACAATTTCTGGTGTGTGTTCTTATTTGTTTGACTAGTCATACTCTATCTAATGCTTTTGATTTATGAATGACTATTCACACACTGTGCACCTTAGTTGTTGCTTGCACAAGGGATGCCTGGATTGATGGGTCCTACTAAGTGCTTAGGTTGTCACTTAGTCATTTTCTAGGTTTGTAGGGGCAATTCAGAATTGATTGATGAATGGATGTGTATTCTGCTGTGTGTTCTTAGGTTTAAGCCTAGTTATAGACTAGTCATATTTCTGCTAGGTACATATGATCATTGTCATTGTCATATCAGTTTGATTAGGGGATTTGGATTTGTGTATCCGGTGTCTGTTCATAAGTCTAAGACTAGTAGTTGACTAGTCATATTGTTATTAGAAACAGTTAATCATTGTTGTCTTACATTTGTCCATTGGAGGAGGAGCTGAAGAATACAAGGAATTGTAGGTCCTAGTACTCCTCCTTGTGTGGCCTGCCATGGTGGAGGGGAGGGAGGAGTATGGTGTTGCCTCCTTATCCTCCCATCATCCAAAACCCTAAAAAAAGATGACGTTCATCTATATCTCTATATAGGCTAGGCATTTCAAGTTGGGTACCCATGACCCATATCACTTTAAATGACTCATGCGAGTCATCAAGTGGATCAAAATCAACCAAAACTCCCTATTCCATATTTCACCGTTATGGGTGTGCGATCTATTAGGTTTTAATCGGTAAGATAGTGGGCAATTCAGACTCTTCCTTAATCGATTGTGAATTAAAACCCCTTTTTAATTCTCCCTTTCATGAGAACATAGTTATGGCATATCCTCAAGGCTTTCACAAACCATAAGTGACGTCTAGCAACATGTTCTGATTACCCAAGCCAATGTCGAATAAGGTGGAGAACCTATTCAATTGAAATTACAATGTAATATTTTCCTTCTCTAACTCAATGTTTACTCTCACATCATTAGGGCATGGAAAACATGTCAAGCCCCTAATGTGAACTTCAAGCTTATATGACTCATACAAGTGTGATTGGAATCACCATTCTCAATCATACTTAATGCTTCAGCTGAAGACTCTTAAATCCTATCGTCAGAGCATTCTCCTTCTTTACTGAAGGTAGAGATCCCTTGTTGTACACTCACCTGCTTCCACGGATTGATCATGAACCCTAATTATACAATATGGTCATGCCCCCGAGGAGAACAATGTTTTGGTATATCAAAGGTCCACGACGCTGCCACAAAACCACTGTGGTGACTCGGATCGAGGATTAATTTACAGTATTGCAACTATGGAGATTTTGTTTGACGTGCAGGTAAAATTTCCATACAAGATCCCTGGTTGATCACGCTCAGTGAATTCACTCCCTAGTGAACACCTATACAAATAACTTGAGACTAGTAATCCTCTAAATTGAGCAGATATAGTGTATACCGGTCTTTGGGGATTGTCAATGCCCAGTTAACAGTCCTATGACCAAGAACTCTTCAGGGTATGAGTTTATAGGGAAAGATCTCCTAGACCTAACTTCTTTAGATCACTTTCCCCATCTCATTGCCCATGGACTTGTCTTTTAGATGAATAACCTAAATCGACTAATTGCCCTTGTTATTTACCAAAAACGGTAATGAAATATCCTTAAAGTAACGTCATATGTTTGGCTTTAGGGCATTTTTCCAACAAACACAAGTTAAATGAGCCCAAATGGACCCATGGCTGAAATTCCCGTACTTAGGCTATTCTCAAGTTAGGGTTTGAGCCTCCTAGGAAATTGGTTGTGGTGTTCAGACGAATGAGAAATCCTCTCGTCCACCTTAGCTAAAATCGGTCCACCAAGAGGTTTGTAGCATATCTATCCTCTTGGTTGATACCTTCTTCACCTCATTTGCATTTGGTGTGGTGAAATACAAGGCATCACCTTTGAAGCATTTGTTGAAGAATCTCAACAAGTTCAAGGAAGTGGCCTTGCACAAGTTGTTAAAACTTGGTTTAACCAAGATGAGCTTTAAGGGTATTTTCTCATCCTTATTCCCCTTTAGTTTTGTGTATAAAGAGATTAGTCCTTAAAGATACATTGGTAAAAATAAAAAAAATTATTCGATCGATAGTCTATTATAAGGAGAGGGGGAATTCTATTTTAAGGGGAGGCGGCACCCACAAGGGATTCGAACTGATGCCATGGGGTTTGCAAACAAAGACCTCAACCACTGAGGTAAACACCTACTGGCAATACATGGGTAAAATTTGAGTAGGCTTATCCCAACATGATTTAAGTAAATAGCTTCAGCATTTGAATAGTTGATTCACATGTTCTGTGGCTAAAATACAATTGAAAGTTGTTAGATACACGTTTCCTTCACATTTGTGGTCGTCATAACAAGGCCTTGGCTTGCTTCAACCTTGAAGCTATTTAGAGCATCTCCAATAGCCTCTTCAATCACTTCGAGATACTCAAATAGGTGAGCCACATCATAAAAAATCTCTCCCACCAACCTTGTTTAACTCAATCATCAATACTGCAATCTACACTCATAGATCATCCTTACAAAAAATTAGACAAATCGAAAACCGTTTCGACATCCAATTGTGTTCTACAAAATCAATGAACACGGTGTTTCAAGAAAGTACTAAAATTTCAATAACTCAATTGAGAGGTCATATCGAATTTAAATGATTTTTTTGTAGAGATGATTTTTGACTGATTATCTGAAAAATAGACGGGTTGGATTAGTGAAATACAATGCAGAGTGGGCCCTACAAGGGTATCTCTCAAATAAGCTTATTTGACGGGGAAGCTCTTTGTGTGTATATATATATATATATATACAATTATTCTCTTATACTAAAATTTCAATAATTAAATTGAGTGGTTAAATGATATCGAATTCGAGTGATTTTTTTTTTCCAGAGATGATATTTGAATGAATATCTACAAAATAGACGCCTTGAATTAGTGAAATACAATACGGAGTGGGCCCTACAAGGGTGTCCCTCAATAAACTTATTTGAGGGATCCCTTAACTGAAACTCATTATATATATTGAAATGCCCCCTATAACTCAATTTCAATCTCAGTTTCCCCCCTGAAACTCCAAGTGTCTCACTTTCCCCTATGAAACTCCATATAGTGTCTCTCACTTTGCCTAGATTCCATCTAACCGTAACAGAAGTCATCAAACTTGCACAAGTGGCTCCCATGTGCCATTTTTCTTGGTTCATGTCCATATAAGAATTTATGGGTATATTAACTATGCACAAATTAGTCCCAAATGACAAACAATTGTGGACCCTAAAAACCTCCTTCAACAATTGAATTGAAGCTGCGATGGAGGGTCGACAACGAAAGCATTGCCATTGTGGGAAGCTCTGCCGAGTTCAGACCTCGTGGACAAATTCCAACCCAGAGGTTTCTAGTCTGCCCACTGGTAACAACCACTTTAATATTTGTAGATTTTTGCTTGTTTATGGTAGTTTTTGATGATATTATGGTGTTACAGGGAAGGAACAGAGGTTGTTGCTTCTTTGAGTGGTTTGATCCAGAGATGTGTTCTCGTTCAAAGGATATAATACCTGGGTTGCTGAAGAATAGGGGAAGACTAGAACAAGATCTAGCCAAGCTTCGAGGTAGAGAGAAATTGTTGTGGGGATTTCTGTTTCTTTCTTGGATAATGTTGATTTCCATGATGGTTGGTGGTTTAAGGGATAATCATCATTAGGTTTAGAGTTGACTATGTAATGTAGGTTTAGTAATCTTAACTGTAACAAAGGGGAGAACGAAGGTTTGTAATCTGCAAGTGTTTTGGGAATGGTTGAGCACAATGGCATTTGTGTGTTATGTAATCTGGTGTTTTTTTAGAATGGCTAATCCAATGGTATTTGAATATTGTCATACTTTTTGTTGTTGTTTAATGTTTCTCTGTAAAGTGGTCTTACTTTCTTTTCTTTTTTTTTTGGTATCAACTGACCATACTTTGAGATAGTGAGCAAACTAAACAAATAGGTAAAGGAGTTCTGAAACTAAAAAATCACCACTAGCTCAATTTACTTGACAAATAAACTTGATGCCAACATAGGCTTAATTCATTAAGTACATTTCTACTGTGAACATCAGTTTACACATTCTAATTCGACAAGAAAAGACCATGTCCACATCAAAAACCCAAAAAGACATATAAAAAACTTATATCCACATCAACTGCAGCCAATTATACATCAAATCTATTTCAAAAGGCTTACAATTCCATATCAAGAACACAAAATGCCAAAATTAGTTCTTTCACTTGAACAACAATGATTGTTTTCTCCCTTTCCTTATCAAAACATAATTCCACATCAACTGCAGTCAACACAATTGCAATCTTCTTCATGGACATCAAAATCACCATTGCCAAGGTTGCATAGTGGCCTTAACTTTCTTTAGCCACTTCTTGTTGTTTGCAGCAGATGTCAACCTCTTCTTTGAAGACCTCCCTCTTTATCAGAAATGATGTGGGCTTGCAGTGACTATGATTGAGCTCGAGATGATTGGCTTGGCTGTGAAAGATGCGTTGATTGGCTTTGTTGTGAAAGATGAGTTGATTGGCTTGGCTGTGCATTAGGCTCAGTGACAATTTGAACGAGCTCTGCTCACCTACATAAATGACATATTAGTATGTATGTTTTTGTAAAACTAGTGTATAAATTGAGTTATAGGAAGCTTATGTCTTGGCTGTGAATGAGGTTGGACTGACTGTCCTAATGTATTAGCTCTCCTCACCTACACAAATGATATATTAGTGTCAGTTTTTCTAAATATAATAAATAAATGGTGCAATTGTAATGAAATATAATAAGCAATACTTACAAATGTTTACGCCTTGGTTGGTTCTTCATTGGCTCCTTACATTTAGTTCTGTTATGGCCCTCTTGCCCACAATTGCTACATTTGATGACAGTGTGGTATCTTTGGAGTTTGTTGGGATTTGATTTCTTTTTAGGCTCATCAGATGCCTTCTTCCTACTCTTCTTTGGCCTACCAGGTTGTTTATGGTAAAGAGAAGGCTTCAAAGAAGGTAAACCACTTTTAGGCCATAAGTCTTGGCTAGGCAATGGGTGAATCATGTCCCTATAAGTTCTTAGATAAGCATCCTTCTTGTAGAAGTCATGCACATAATCTTCTGGATTCCCATGGAATCTACTCACTACAGCACAAGCATGGAGGCAAGGAAGACCACTGAGATCCCATGCTCTGCAAGAGCATGTGTGGGCATTCAAATCTACCACAAACTGTCTCCCACTGTGATGTATCACTTGGAATTTATTTTGCCCTGCATGCCTTGGAATGCACCACTGCCCAGCTGCCTCATTTACCTCCAATACCCCTCTAGGCCCAACTTGACCATGCCACTTATCCATGGCTACTCTCCTTGAAGCCATTAAGATCATTAAATACATTCTAATCCTCTCCAAAGCAATCAACACAGGCTTGTTCCTTGCAGGTAATATGGATGAGTTAAAAGCCTCACTTAAGTTATTCATCAAAATGTCACATTTAAAGTTAGTTCTAAAATGGGATCTAGCCCATTGACTTGCATCCCTCTCACATAACCAAGCATGTGCAACTATATCTAACTCTAACATCTTCTTCATTTCCTCAACAAACCATGGCAGTGTAGTGGCCCTTGCTATTGATTCCATTTGCAGCTTTAGGGCCAATCCTTTATGTTCCTTCAAGAAATTTGCATATAAATGCTTCAAACAACACCTATGCTCAACATTTGGGAATAAATCATCCACAACATCAATTAATCCCTTTTGTTTGTCAGTCATAAACAATTAGCCGTGGCTATTCTCTATCTTCAAATCATGACTTAATAGCTCCAAAAACCACTTCCAAGTATTGTAACTCTCAACTTCAGCTACAACATATGCCAATGGGAACATCCCATTATTTGCATCAACTCCTACAGCACGTAGCAATTGGCCAGGGTGAGGGCCTTTGATGTGGCAACCATCCAACCCTATATAAGGCCTACAACCATCCAAGAACCCTTGCTTACAAGCTTGCAAGCAAATGTAAACCCTCTGAAATCTTGGCATATCACCCTCTAACTCAAACTTTACCACCACTTAACTACCAGGATTTGTCCTTTTCAACTCCTCATAATAATCCCATAAAAGTTCATATTGTTCGGTATAACTCCCCTCAATATTGTTGGTTGCCAAGCTTCTTGCCCTATAAGCTTGTGCCCTAGAAGGATAATAACCAGTTTCTTGGTTCACCTTCTCTTGAAAAGATCCCACATCCCAGTTAGGATTTGTTAAATTGCTTTCATACCAATTTGAAAAATACTTTGCATTGGCATGAATATTCGCATTCCCCTACCCACAAGTATGTTTCCCGACATAAGTTTTCACTTGAACATGCTTGCTTCCATGCACAGATGATGCATAAAGGTGAAATGGACACTTCTCATCACAAATTACTCGAATCCTACTACCATCATTCACCTTAAACTTAAGCTCTCTTCCAATTAGGACAGAATGCCTCCTCACAGCTGTCCTAAAGATTTCACGACTAGGAAATCTTAAACCAAGCTCAAATTAAGGATTTTTCATATCGATGGATGGGATGAAGTCTTTAAAGTTAGGGAGCTTTCTCTTTCTCAAGCAGTTTCCAGTCACAACCTCAGACTCAGAAGAAGAGTGCTCTGGTGTACACATCCTAGGTGAGGCAGGGTTATTATCTGACTCCTCATCCTCTTCACTTGTATTAGGGTCTATGTAAATTGCATCATGATCTACATATCCCTGAAACTGATTATCATCATCCCTCAACAATCTCACATCCTCCTCACTTTGTACATAGGCAAGGTCTACCAAATCTGGGTCTTCATCCAAATCCTCGTCACTCTCACTGCTAGTTTGTTCTTCTTCCTCATTTGTCCAATTTGATTCCACATTTACAACACAAAATAGAGCATAAAACTTGAATTTACTCTACCAACCAATCATTTGTAGCAGTAAAAAGCCACAAAGTCAAATCAAAAGCATCATCTTCATGAGTATACCTAACTTAATAAAGCAATGTACTCATCACTACTTGGACAACACCCATTTTAATATTCCTTGAAGTTCAAAGCCAAATACAATAATACAAAGCCTAATAGTCAGATTCGAACCCAAGACCAAGAATAAATAAAGAATCACTACTTGGACAACACCCATTTTAATATTTCTTAAAGTTCAAAGCCAAATACAATAATACAAAGCCTAATAGTCAGATTCGAACCCAAGGCCAAGAATAAATAAAGAATCTGAAGGTCCACTTACCTGTGAGACCTGAAGGTCCTCCTGCTTCTGTCATTGTCAAATTCAGTTTACACCTTCACTGTTGAAGATTCTATTGCTTTACTCAGATTTTGAAATCACCCAAAATATCTCTCCTTGTGCGAAGATTTTACCCTAATTGAAGATATGGTCGATGTTTTACATCTATTGTGGGTCCCGCCTTTTTGGCACTTCAAAACCTACAAGTACAGAAGAACCGAGAGAAATGGCACATGGGCGTCACGTGTGCAAGTTTGACGACTTCTGTTAGGCTGGATGGAATCCAGGCAAAATGAGACACTATATGGAGTTTCATAGGGGAAAGTGAGACACTTAGAGTTTCAGGGGGGAAACTGAGACTGAAATTGAGTTACAGGGGGCATTTCAATAATTTAGCCTATATACATATTATATATAGGAAAAACTACATAAAACCCCTAAACTATCATTTTCAAGTTCATACTCAAATTTAGAGACATTTACGAGTATATACTCAAACTCCCGGAAACCCTACAATTTACCCACACCGTTATACAAACTGTTAGTTAATCTGTTAAATGCTGATGTGGCATTTGTGGGACCTATTTTTTTAGGGGGAACTTGAAAATAATTAATTAAAGATTAAAAGAAAAAAAATATCTTTGCCTCTCTCCTCCCAAGCCCCCGATCACAATGTCGGCGATTCTCTCATCACCACACCGAGCCAACCCCATCCTCCCCTCCCCATCACCCCCACCACACCCAAACCGGCAATAACCTACCCTCAAACTCAATCACTTTCAACCTAAAATCCCCAATTTCCCAATTAAACACCCATTCTTTCATCTTTTGGGTGCAAATCGTTGGAAGTGATTAATCCACTATTGGAATGAGTTGGAGTTGCAAAGATGGGAATGTCACTGTTTAAAAACTTAAATTGAAAATGAAAATGAAAAAAAGCCATCTCTCATCCCACAATGGGATCAAACCAGAAATCTAATCTTGCACAACTGAATAAACGCACCATGAGCTCCGGCGAGATCTGAAGAACTACTACGAGCTCTGGTGAGGTCTTGAGAACGTCCCCTATGGCGTGTTGCGAAGACCCAACCACCTGGGTTTTGTAGATTGAAGATTTCTAAGTCCAAGGGAGTGGACGGTGTCGCATGCTGCAGACTAGGGACGATCCATACGAGAAGGGCATATGTGGAAGCGGGATAGCCTACAAGCGACATCAACTCTACCGTTGCCAGTAGACTTTGCAGATGATGGGTTCGCTACGTCCGAGCCTCGCGAGTTTAGCGGCACAAGCCGAGTCGCAAGTTGAGCCTGGGGAAGTTCCTTCCTTTATTTGTTTTCTATAAAATAAAATAAAAAATAAAAAATAAAAAATAAAAAAAGTTCTTGCATTCTTTCACAGAGAGAGAGAGAGAGAGAGAGAGAGAGAGAGAAAGAGAGCTGGCGAGGATAGGCAAATAGGATTCCGACAAGGATAGGAAAGTTGGCATCGACGACGATTCTGGTGGGGAAGCATTGAGTGGCTAGGTGTTTTGGCAGCGGTGTTGGGTCTGGTACAGTAGTAAGTTGGGCTGAGAGGTTGGGAGGAGGAGAGGGACAATGATTTTTCCTTTTCTTTTGATTTTGAATGAAAATTAATTATTTAATATTTACTTGTTTTGTATAATAATTTATTAATTTTTTGTCCAAGTGGAATCCCACGTCAATTGAAAAATGGGTCCCATAAATGCCACATCAGCATTTAACAGATTAACTAATAGTTTGGCTAATGGAGGGGGTAAATTGTAGGGTTTCCGAGAGTTTGAGTATGTACTCGTAAATGTCTCTAAAGTTGGATATGAACTTGAAAATGACCCTATAGTTTATGGGGTTTTATGTAATTTACCCTTATATATATGTATATATTATTATGCATAAAGTATTATATCACTTAAACATTGAAAAATAAAATAAAAAAATGTAGTCCCAGTCCAAGCATACACGAAACACATGACAAGTATTATCCAACTTAAACCAAGACAAGCCAAGCCAATACAATCTCTAAGCATAGTTCATATCAAGACAGTCATGTGTAACAAATAAGGCCTTAATGAATTACTTTCTACCTGACAAAGTCATCGTGGGTTTTTAATCCTATCTTGGGGTTTTCTCACGTTAAACCCATTGCACACTTTATTTTTATTGCTTGTTGGTTTCTTTGTTTTTAAACTAGATTTAATTGGGTAAAACTAAAATTAACATTTGGTAAAAGCCTATTCACCCACTCTAGGCTTATAGGTGGTTTAGCTATGCAATTTCACCTTATTGATCTCAAAAGGTGAAATTGACACAACAAAACAAGTAATAAAATTCACAAAATCTGCATCTACAAAAATTAATAATACTGATAATAGATGTGGACTAAACCAAATAATAATTAATCGTTTTGGACCTAAGTCTAATAACCCTAGCATAAATACGAATTAGCACTTAATCTAGCAGTGCTTCACCACTTAGAGCATGTCCACCCATAAGGGCTAAGTCTAGGGCAAGGGCAAGCAAGGGCTGCCACTATTCATGTGAATAGTGTCAGCCTTGCCATTTGTGGTTCCACCCATGGGGGCTAAGTCTAGGGCAAGTCTAAGGCAAGAAAGGAAAAAAATATTATGCAACAAAATATAAACAATTTAGAAAGTGAATTGTTATGTATTTATAGGGAAAGCATCTATAATTTTTTGGTATTTTTTTTATAAAAAAATGAAATTTTTTTGGATTTTTTAAATATTTTTTTGCTCGCTGACGTCAGCCTTGATGTCACAGCCCTCGGGCTGAAGCCCAGGCGAAACTTGCCCTTGGGCTTGCCCGGGCTGGTGGGACCCACGCCAAACCGGGCTGCAGGCTGCTGCGCTGGAGCTGCCTTGGCCTGTTGAGGGGGGCCTTTTGCCCGGATTTGGACCTGCGGTGGAGTTGCTCTTATGTATTGTAAATAGTTCGAATTATCTGTATCCATCTCCCATAATAAAATAAATAAAATTCATAAAAGCTCTTTTGAATTACTAAAATAATTGTTCATATGAATATGGGTGGACCCCATTAAGTTTGTATTTGGAGCCATTTCCCACATCTTTTGCTCATGGCAAACATTAGGGCGGAACCCGTACCGCCCAATTATACTTTTCCATTTCTCCTATGCAGTTTACTCCAGACATCCAACTTATTTTATATAATGAGCTTTTCATGTGGGCACATTCTAACGTAACATTTTATACAAAAATTCTTAGAGAGTCTATTTGGAGAAAAAAGAAACCTTAACTAGTCACTTGTTATTTTTTTAATTGGTTAGTGTATTACAATTTTTTAACTTGAAAGTACGTAGAATTTTTCTAAAATATTGTACTTGAATGATTTTTTAAAATTTTAAAATGTCATATTAAAATGGACCTATTTGTAAAAAGCAATTTATATATCAAGCCATCTCTTCTAGCCCAGCCCACCTTATCATAGTGGATAGCTGTTAGGCCCATTTCCGGCAATAAATAAAAAACTTGCATATCTCAAGTTTCATACGTCTTTCTCTCTTCATATGATGATAGAGATAGACAGACAGTTGAATAAAACATGTGTTACATGGAAATTTTACTCTTTACTTGGTGCTTCTTAGGTTCAGCCTAAGGAGACAAATCATGTTACGGGGGTTATTATTTGGCCCACAGGCTCATGATTTGATGGAGGCACGCACAAACCAATGAGGAAAAGTCCGGCCCTGCCTGTTTCGGGCCACGCATTATTAAAGC